TTCCTCTATTTCTTTGTTATGACCAGCTATTTTTAATGTACATTGGCAACTTTTCCCGAGCAAAGATCCAGCACCATAAGTATTTAAAAGCGTCCATTCCTTTAGTGCATAGTCCGTGCAATCCTCAGGTGGTATTGCCGGTATAGGAAAATTTTGATTGTCCCTACGTGCTACAAATTCTGCTTGACATAAATCTCTTATTGCTTCCGACATTAATAACATAATCTAAAAATATCATTTTTAAATAACAATTACTCTTTAATTAAAAAAATAATTTTTTTTTCTTGTAATAAATTACAATGACAAACAGCTAAAAAAAATACCAAGTATATGTACTCACAGCCTGATTTTTTAGAGCTGCCAATTTAGTAAAATAATTTTTAAGAAAATAATCTCCACATAACAATGCTAATTTATTGCCGAGAGTTATATTGTTCAATTCTGTAGATTCCAGAGACTTTGCATCTACATTTATGTTTACTAGTCCTCTGTGTATTAAATTGCTAGTGCGGATTATTTCTATAATTTTCGCCAGTACTTTTTGACTGAAATATGTTTATTAGGATCTGTCTTTTCTTCGTAGAAGAATATATTTTTTGTATTTTATTAGCAGTATTTAATTTTTTGTACCTGTGTAATACGCCCACAACTTCATCCACATCTGTCGATTTTGCATTCAAGTGGCCAGCAGCTTTGGAGATTAACAGCAAGATGAGACCAAATGTTTGAGTGTTATGTTGAATGTTACTATTATGAATAATGGTCTTATTGTAAAAAAAAGCACAAATAAAATTTTTCTTTTTTAGAAAAGCATTACATTACGATAACTTACTTAGTTGTTTTCAATACAGGATGATTTGTGCCAACCAGCTTCTTTAAATGCAACGCAACATTAGCAAACTCGTCGCTTGACTGCCAATTTAAATTTAAGAAGGACGGGTTTCCGACGATCTTCTCTGCTTCGGACATAATTTTATTCCAATCCGTATTTTGACTCATTGCCTTTTTGTTTTCA